CAGCTCTGTGCATGGCTCTGGGGATCACTCTGTCCTGTGCTTTCAGGAGACTGCCTTTTAGAGCAGTACTGTGCTCTTACGGGTGCAGCAGACACGCTCTGGCTCATGACCTTTACAAAGAAAAACCAAATTCTGGCAAGCGGGCGGGGAGCTGGGTTCACCACTCCCCTGCCCCTCGCTGGATGCAGCTCCAGCACACCCACGCCTCTTGGAAAGCAGCACTCCCCCTCGGGTGGCCACGGGCCAGGAGCTCTGCCCGGACAGAGGAGGGTCTGCCTGTCCCTTCTCAGCTGACAGCGAGAACAGCCGTCCACAAAGCGCCGCATAACCGCGGCTTTTTATTTACTCCGCCCGGTTGTTTGACACTGACCACATTTGTTGTGTTTGAAATCTATTTTGGTGTCCCTTGTGCAGACCCACAGCACTCTCCAAGTTTGCCTTTCAAAACAAAACAGACATTGTGCGAGCTCCTTGCCTTCAGCTAAAGTCTGTGTTTGCTGACATTAGCAGAGCTGACTAGCTTAAAAAAAAAGGTAAGTTACTTGAACCTAAACATGCATGTCAAACTACATTACTGAAAAGCAAATAGGAAGGTAAAATATTTCACAACAGTGATGTTCTGAGTTAACAGCACAATGTGGGGTATGAGCTTAGACAGCTACCGAGCTCCAGCTGACCTCCCATCCACACGCCTGCAATCTTGGCAGCACTCAGAGTGCTTCCTCCACCCGGAACGCCCCAGAAAAACCCAGCCTGCTGAAAGAATGCAAACTTTCTGAAAAAGCACAAAACAAATCTTCCTCATTGGGTTGGGGCTGATAGGCAGAGCACATGGAACAATCTGTGATTTTTTTTCCCCACCACTGAATTCCTCCTCCTCTCCAGGAAGGCTGAACCACCCACACCTTCAGAATTCCTGATAGGTGACACTTCTCCCACAGCTAGAAAATCCGATCTCTCCTCCCAGGGCAGCTGTATTTGACCCCCCCCCTCCCCTCCTTCTAAAAAGGGAACACCTACCATTGGAAACATCCTGATTTCGCATTCAGAAGCAAAAAAGGAATGTTAACAGTATGTTCTTTCCAACAACTGCAGGTGCCTTCCATTCCACTGTGATAACAAAAATCCAACAAACCCCAACTAATCTCAGCAGATTACTTGTGGTCTGGAATAATTGCCTTAAATTTGCTTTTCAGGCCCTAGGGTTGATCAGATTTTCTCTTGGAGAAGGTATATTAAAGTATTAAAACTTTGAAACATATGTTTAGGGAAAACATGGCTTCGTTAAGAGCTTTGGTTCTGCAGCACCCCAGCAAGTGCCCTGCCCTGGTCCATGTGCTTACTGCTACTGCTCAGCTGGCTTTCTCCATTTGCTTCTCATTTCCCTGACATTCATCCTCCCTTGACATATTTTGAGACAATTTTTTAATCACCCTTTAGTGACAGCCTGGCAATGTGAAAAGCTGCCTCTGGGCTGAACTGCAGCCACTGTTCACACTTGTTCCAGGTGCTTTGCCAGTGGTGTCCCTAAGTGCAGCTTGTGGTTATTAACACAAGACAGGTACCTCCAGAAAAACATGCTTTCTTATCTTAGCCCATCCCTTTGGGTAAAAAAGGAAACACAGAGCCTGCCAAGAAGAAAAGCTGTTCAGAACTGTTCATCTGCTATTGATCAGGAATGTGCCACACAGCACTGCAGCCCAGAGAAGCAAGGCTTGGAAAATCCACTAATTCACAAGCAACAGCAGATCAGGAACACCCCACACGGAGTCAGAGCTCTGGTTGCTCTCTGCTCTCCTTGGGCTGCCAGCAGCAATGCCAGGCGGGGTCTGCAGAGCTCCTTCTCTCACACTGATGCAATGGGGTAGTACAGTGACAGCAGGATGGGGATGAGGAAACACCAGCCAGTCAGCAAGAAGATCTCAAGTGACTGGTATGAAGATTTCTAGGCTGGATGCCAGGAAAAACAGAAGCACCATCCAGCAGCCATTTTCAGCAGCAGCCCCTCCGCGGGCTCCCTCGGCACAAGATGGCTACACCTCTGACTGCCGGGGTGAAGCTCGACCTGCTTGAGCTACAAAGACCCAGGCACTCTGGGACACTCCAGTCTGCACCCCACAGGCTGCCAACAGAGAGGGCAAAAGGACAAAGCTTTCCTCCCCAGAAGCAGAGAAAAAGTCCAAAAAAAGCTGATTTTCTTTCCCCTTTTTATTTTTTTTTTTTTTTAAATACAGGCACTGGCTTCCTTTTTCACTTACAGCACTAAACTACCTTTACAAAGCCCTGACAACCTTTTCCTCCCATTTAAGCTGGACAGAATATTCCTTGTGAACTTCACAGGACTTCAGTTTCTTCTCCTGACCTACCAGGAAAGAAACCACCTTAAGAAATGGCAGCAACCAGAACTGTCCAGAGGAGAGGGACAGACATACTCTGCTGCACTTTGGGCTGAAAAGAACCTTCCCACGTTGCTCCTTTGATCCCACAGAGCACTAACCAGAGAATCTGAAGTGGAACAGTGAGTGCTCTTAACTACGGACTAGGGAAAGCTCTTGAACACTTCCCATACTTGGGTGCAGAGAAAGCGATGAGCACTAGTCAGGAATTCCTTCTTGTTTACTGGCTGGCTGCATAGACAGGAACTGAAGAATCACAGGAAAGGGGCTACAAAAGCATCAGCTACTATGCAAGACCAGCAGGAAACGGCTCCTATTCTTCCCCAGCACTCCAAAGGGGAGGCAGGCAGAGCTGCCCCTGTTCAACACAAGGTCTTGCAAAGACAAGTGAGACCACGTGAAGGAAGTTGCAGTCAGTAGGTATTGCACACTCAGGAAAACAAACATTGCAGGCAACAGACCAAAGGACAGAACAAAAAACTCCCACTGAAAACCTCAAGCACGCTCATCTACCTAGTGCACCCTTCCCATCCCACTGTTCATAAAGTTTTAGTCTAACTTATTTTTAAGCAGAGATCAGTTACTCTCCACAATTGCTAAATAACCTTTATGCATACAATCAGGAGAGGATGGTGTATCGCTAGAAACAAGACTGAAATCTCTGACCCTTTTAAAGATTTTCTGCTGTCAGAGCACATCTGCTGTAGGACATTTAGATGTTGAGGTAGACTTGTGGTACTCCAATGCTCCTGAACACTGCTGACCTTGGCTCAGTATTATCCTCTGCCCCAATTTTATGGCCTTAGCTTTTCTGTGTAAGGGTCAATACAATTTTCTAGAAGATGGCATTTCTGCATAGTCCAATTTTCTTGCTATGAAGAGCTTTGAAGTTTCTGCAAGTTCCAGTAACTCACCAGTGCAAGCGAAGAGCGTGGAGAAATGCAGACAGCCCCTCCATCACCAGGAGAATCGCGACTGTCAGGGTAGCAAAAGCAGCAAACACAAAGAAGAGTCCAAAGCCTCCACCCAGACTCCTCACGCTGAGGCCAATGTGGATCACCATGGTCCAGAGCACCTCTGAGAGCTCTGCCAGGAGAAAGGGGAGAAGAGGGCTCATTTCAGAACATTCACCAAGAATGGAAGGTTGTTACAGTTTACTTATAAAGCAAAAACTAAAGTCAAGCAGACTTCCACTACAATGAGCTGGGAAACTTATGAGGGACAACAGCTTTTGCAGCCAAGTACGTCAGGACATCGCCTCCAACTGTCGCACAGCGCAGGGCAGAGTCCTTGCTCAGCAGCTCTTTGCTTTATTCAGTGTTTTCAACTCCATCCCTCCCTTCTAGATCCAGACAGCTTTTAGCAGAGCGCTGTGCAAGCAGACACTGGTGTTTAGACTTAATTAGTCCCAGCTAATGCACACACAGCTCTGTCCCTCTCCAGCCACGCTAGACAGTGGAGCTCCGGGGAGGCTACTTGCAGTCCTGCCTTTCACCTACTGCCTGCCCAGGGCGATCAGACACACGGATCCAGACCTCCACTCCACAGGGAATACTCACGTGCATGGGCCAAGCTGAGAGCCCAGAGCCTCAAGTAGGATGCAGTGTTTGAAATGCAGCCCAGGCAATATTCAATGGTGTGGATCGCCTGGTACACCACAGTGTCGCCAAAGTCAAACTGCAGAGAGAACACAGAGCATGGAGAGAGCTGCGAGCCGCGAGGGCTGGCTGACTGGGGAGCACGAGCACAGGACCTGCTGCTATGGCCAAGGACGTTGTGTTTGAACTTAGACACTGATACTGTCTTCTCCTGGTTTAGCATGTCAGTTTTAGGAATGACAAATGAGTTCTCTTGTCTGGCTAGGTTTGGTAGAACCACAGTTCACGGCTGCAGCTTGAATATTACTATTTCCACATTCTGTTGTATGAAAGTAGGAAATTTCAAATTCAGCCACGGGCTTTGCCAGGAAAAGACTGTTCAGCAACAACATGGTATTCATACGAATTCACTGGTAAACTGCATGTACTGCTATGAAAAAGGAGACAGTATTCCAAGTCAATACTGTGTATGTACCTTTGCTACAGGATCAACAAGAACATTTTGCAAGATGCAAACTTGCCCTTTTTGAAAGCAAAAATAATGCACAAAGCAATCTTGGAAAAGTCACATCTGTGCACCATTCATTGGCAAAGTCTCTGTGTCTTGGTAATTTTTTTGAAATAATAAAATAAGAACTTATAAGGAAGTGTGCCATGTAGGACAGTTGCTTATTTTGCAACTTGGGAGAGCATTCCCTACATTTTGGATTTAATCCATGCTTCAGAAACTGCTCATATTTAAGTTAAGTGAACATCATGTTTTAAATATATCAAGTGATTAATGCTCTAAGCATGGAAAAAATATCTTTAAACAGTTTGTTGCAGTGCAGAATTACCAAAGACACAACAAAAAGCAAATAAGACAACTTCTTCAGAAGTTTAAAAGCAAAAACTTTTCAGTTTCAGACTTCCAGCTTTCCAGGTAAACTAAGAAAGATCTACAGACAGGGGGTAAGACAAACAAGCTGTAGAGATGAAATAATTAAAGGTCCATTAATGGGCTTGTATGTATGAAGAATTAAAAATGGCCTGTAATGTGTAAATAGCTAGATCTTTCGGATAACAAGATGTTGTGATGTAATGTGATTAATTCAGCGTGTGTTTTACACCAATGGGAAATGGCCCAGATATACATGAACGCAAAGCTGGCTGTAGTCTTACCACCTCATCCTCTGTAGGCTTGAAAACATAAGTTTACATTTAGTGCAGTGTCTCAATCACAACATTAATCATGAACACATTCAATAATTCCCTTCTAAACATGACACAGTAAAGAATTAACACGTCACACGCACTACACAGGCAAGATACTGCTGGAGAATTGCTAAGAGGCATCAGAATACCCCCAAACTACATGAGATCAACTCCTTTTTCTTCTCTACCAGTGGTAAGGCAAGGCAAAGCAATTGATATTACCCCCAACAGTCAAAATGACTAGATAAGCAAGACTTCACTGCTGCAGAAAGACAGCCCCTGGTTTTTGGCTGATACTGGAGAAGCAGGGAGCACAAATCCACTTCAGGCAGAGCGTGAGCTGTCTGTGCCATGGGGTACTGGGCAGTTCTCACTGCACAGCCCGTAAGATGATGGTTCTTTTCAAACAGAGCCACATTTCCCTTTGTATGCAAATTACACTGCTTTTTCTAGAGTCCTGGGAATGACCAAGAGATGGTCTGCATGAAAACTGCTACGAAAACACTTCACTGAAAATATTGCTCTTTAGTTTTAAACAGCTTAGAAATTCAGGAAACACAGTCAAAACACTGGCATGTTCTGCTACCAAACGCGTTGTCCTGAGAGCATGGACAGTCAGGTGCTCACCTCTTCCGCCTCCTCGGAGTGGGTAGATAGCTGGTCGTGCTGAATGATCTCAGCATCCTCCTCAGTCGGTCCATTGCCCACCCGGATCCCACCAAAGTTGTGCGTTCCCTAAAACGTGCAGAAAAAGAAAGAGCAAAGTGTTGTTTGTGTCTTATTGCAGGAGCACAGGTTCTTACGACTCCACGTGCAGCAGCAGCTCACAGAAGAAAACAAAATATTAAGTATTAAGGCCCAGGTTAAGCCAGTTGTACAATTCTATTTCCCAGCTTGGATGGGAAAGATGTTGATTCCTGCTAGGGCTGGGGAAAAAAGCCTGTCTGGATGAACAGTTGATACATTTCTACAAGTAATTGCACCCCTAGGTAAAATGAAAGGCACATCTCTCAGGAGGACATTTGCTGGCACTGACGTGCGACAGACCATGCCTCGCCCATCAGCTGTTGGACAAGCACTCAAACACCACTGCTGTTGTAAACAGAACAAGTCACATAGTGGCACCTCAAAGCAGAATGGAGCGACACAAATACACGTACACACACTTGCTCCCCACCAGCGCCAGGCACAGGAACACCACACATGGGAAATCAGACTTTCCCTTACTTGGAAATTCTACGTTGTGCAAACAAGTCCCTTTTATAGACATTTGTTCTGACATTCAACATCTGACCCCCGGCCGTGACTCCTCTGCACTCCAAACAGAAAAGGATCATCTACAAAATGAGCTGAAACTTTGACAGTCAGGAGTTCCTCTCACTTGACAAGTGGAATCATTGCACAGTTAACATCTGATTTACAGCAGGCTTCCTCCTCCTACTGTCCTACTACTAAGAAAGGATGCACAACCCTGCTGACCACCTGACAGTGCCCTCAAGCAGAACTTCTACACATTGTAAATACATACTGGGCAATGAAGGTGTAACTTGCACATCACTGTCTGAATTTCTGCTCAGGAAGCAGCTCTGAGCACTCTGCAGCAGGATTTTAATTTCCCTCCAAATGCTCCAGAGACAGAAAATGCTCATGACTGATCTGAGGGACTATAAATTGAGACCTATGAGTCTGACCCACCTAGAGAAGCAAACTGAACTGCCACACATGGAATGAAAAGCCCTGCATTCAGCTTCTCCCTCACACTCTGCTTGTGTCCATTCTCTGTAAACTATGGAATCTAAACACAGCTCCAAAAGCTCTAATCGTTTACTCTGTACTTCTAACCACACCTCATACAAAGACCTTCCCTCACAGCTTCTTGTATCGAGATGCACTTAACATGCTGGATGGATTATGCACAAAAGATCCATTTTAATTTCTGACATTTCTGTGAGGCTATTTAAAATGTCATGATAGAAACACTGGCCAACAAAAAGTGCCTTTGACATGTGGAGTGCACAGTGTGTTTCATACAGTTTGTGAGATTTAAGTTTCCTAGTTAGGCAACATTCTCAACTAAAAGCAAACTGAAATATGTAGTACTGGGGAAGGGACAAAGTTCTGGGAGCTGCTGCAATCCTCACTGTGCCAGAAAAGCTTTAGCAGTAAAGGGCTGTCTATGGGTTTAGACACAAATAAGTAGAAAAAACCCCACTACTAGAGATGCTTATTTGTGCACAACCATTTTATAATAGTTTAAAGTCTAAACTGTCTACAAGGGCACACGTGTCAAAAATCCAGTAATTACTGAAGTTGTTGGGAGGCCGTCACATAAACATGATGTTTGGGAACACATAATGCAAACAGAAATGCTTCACTTGAGAAGAATCCTAATTTATCTTAATCAAATATGCAAGAAAAGGAAAAAAGGGGAACTTAACCTGGGGGGATGTGGTAGCAAGGCATTCTTGTGCTGCTCTGCAGGTTTTGATTTCAGCAGCACTCCTGCAAAGAAGTGTCTCTGCATTCTGTGCACACAAAACTATTCTCCTTCAGCCTGGTAGTTCTTCCAGAATGTATCAATTTTGCTGAACTCTGCTCTTTCCAAGAGAAAGTGTTTTTCACCCTAAAGGTGCAGTTGTCATTCCCTTATGAAATTCAGATACATTCCATGCTCTCTTGATCATTAGATAGAAAGCCAGCTCCCATCTTTAAATCCATCAGGTGACTTTTAAATCCACTCACTGTTGCAGCCGCTGCTGCCTCTAGTGCCTGCTCGTTCGGGACTGTGCTGACTTGGGCCTCCACGGGTTGCCCTTCCTGATAGTGAATGGAAGAAAAGAAAGGGAGGAGGAAGAAAACAAAAAGAGAGAGGGAGACGAATGGAGGGGACATGGGAGGATGAAAGATGGTCAGAGAAGGGAGAGGGAGTGTCTTTAACTGAACTGATCTTTGACTCACTTAACATCCTACAAGCTGTCTGCCATACATGCAGGGAGAATTTTCAAGCATCCTCAGTGCACGTGTGCCAGGTTCCTGCATTTCATATAATGAATCTTTACAGTACAGTTGGAAACCTAAAGAGCACCCCAGAGGACAACCTCTCACAAAATGACTGTGTAAGTCTATTTCTCTCTTTTTTCTTTTCTTTTCTTTTCTTTTCTTTTCTTTTCTTTTCTTTTCTTTTCTTTTCTTTTCTTTTCTTTTCTTTTCTTTTCTTTTCTTTTCTTTTCTTTTCTTTTCTTTTCTTTTCTTTTCTTTTCACTGTTATTTTTAATCACCCAAACTGCTTTAACAAAGACAGCTGATCAGACTGCCAGCCCATGGAGCTTACATCTCTGCTTTTACACTGTCAGCCTAGCGAAGGCACAGAACTGCATCCAGCAACTGGTAAGACACTGTTCCTAAAGCAGCTGACAAAGCCCAAGCTAGATACATTGGTTTTCATCATTACCAATATAAAGGGTTTTTAAAAGCAGACTTTATGCTGGATCCAGATCTGAGAAGCAGGCAAGCAATGCTTTGTCTCCAGTAAAACCAACCTGCCTTTATGCCTAGGAACACGCAAAAACATTTTACAGGTCACAATGCAGCGTGAACCTACGCATCCAAGATCAAGACAGAGAACAGAGCTTTTCAACCACAATTAGTTTCCATATTGAAAATAGAAGAAGCAGTCACCCACCAAGTGCTTTCTCCTCAAATACTGATGGCGGAGGACCAGGGGTTTAGCTACCAGCATCCACGGCACACACAGTAACGCCACCACCACAAGGAAACACTGGAGCCCTTTCTGTAAAAGAAACAAGTCTCAGATGATTTGTTGGCAGCCTGTGCTCAAACACACACACAAAACCTGGCAAGAGGTCCTGTGCAACACTGAATGACTGAATTCCCAGAGTATGTGGACCCTTCACTATCTCTCTCTCTTCCTGGAACAAGATGTGCTGTGCTTAATGCCTCTTTGCAGCTGCCCCATCTGACTGTACAGCATGTTTAGATTAAGGGAAAACCCATAAGATTCTGTAGGGAATGACAATTTGGTAGATGTCTTGTAGCACTGGGATGAAATGGCAATAGTGTCTTAGCTAAGCTTAGAGACACCACACTGCAGATGCAGGACAACATTCCTAATCTCTTTCCACTACTAGTCTGAACCCAAATGTTCTGGAGCCACAGTTGACTTATGTTCAGACTGATATAAATTCTTGGTATAGGGATTATTCCTTCCTTCTTCAACATTACATAGTGTCAGGCTTTGGAAGTGATGCCATATTTCCTCTATCACAGAGAAAAATAGTTTCACATTTGATTTCACAATTATTATAAGGTCAATGAAAGACTCTAATACCATGAAGGATCTCTGATCTATTCTAGCAAAAGCACGCACCTGCCCTTTATAAAGCATCTTATTACTGGTATCACCATAGGAGAAAAGAAACATGTTGATAAAATGTATTAAGAGGCTGGGTGCATCCTTCGACGTGTGAGCATCATAGGCTGTCCACTTGTAGAAAATGAGAATAACGAGGTATCCAAAGAGTGATGACATGAAAATCATTTCTGGAATAAATCCAAGGTATATGTTCAGTGGCTTCTTAAAATAGCTACAGAAAAAGAGAGAGAGATTGACATTACATTTGGTTAGCATTAGGCATAGGTAGTGCAGAAATTTTTAATGAGAACATAAAGAGCATCTTCAGAACAGAACTGCAGGGGCTCAGCATTTCAGCAATAGCTGGGACTGGAACACAATAACTACCTGACACTCATAGTTCTGCACACACAGACAGAAACAACCGTATTGTGCCCTTCCATCGGAAGTTAAAGTCTTGACAGGCTCCTACATCTTAAACTAACACACACATCACACCCAAAGAAGTTCCCCCCCCCCGCCTCACCATGAGAAAAACAGAGCAAAGCACTTACATGTGGTTGAGAAGACTCAACGCGACACCAAAGAGCATGTGAATAATGCCAAGAATCACAGACATTTTCATCTTAAATGAATTGAGGAAGGCCAGTTTATTGCTGGCAATATTCCAAATCTGTGAAAAACAACAGAGTCAGCCGAACACCGAGTAAAAGAAAAACAGAGGAGAAGGAAAATGTTCACTTTAAGCTAAACAGTATTAACCATCCAGGAAGTATTGGCTGTAAGAGCATTTTTTTTTAAAGATGTGTTTGTCACACAGATATCTTTTGGGGAAATGAGCAGGCAACCTTTTCTGCTGGGAACACTGTCTTACAGCAACTGATCCAACCATCAGAGCAGGAATCAAACCTGGCTTATTTTTATGGCAGGCAAAAGTTGCAGGAAAAGGGAGCTGTATCTTTGACAGAAAAAAATAGGATTATCCATTTAAACCAACAATTACACACAGGTCTGATTTTCTGGAACACATGCAATTTTTGTATCCCATATCCTAAGCAGTGTTAGGAGCAGTGTTATCCATGTAGGCAGATACAAAGGAAAAGCTCTTACCGGGTCAATGCCAAAGGGGTAGGGTCCACCAAACACCCCTGGGATAGCAGGGTTCAGCTGAAGCAGGGGAGTACTCTCAAGCAAGGCATCTCTGAGTATAAGCAGATCACATAAACATTAACAGAAGCAATACTGTCCTCTTCCTGTAAAAACTAACAACATTCTTCCCTTGTGAGAGCAAGGAATATCTCAAATTGAGAGAGCTTTAAGGTTCCTGCATGGTCCTAGAGACTTTCCAAATGAATAATAAACCTGTTTCAAGGAAAAAAGATGTGGGGGACAGGAATCTTGCTGTGTCTATGAGGAGAAAGGTGCTAAACTGCATCTTTACAAGATTTCTGGGGGGAAAAAAAAAAAGGAGCTGGTTTGAAACTTAATAGATATCACATTTACACCCCTCTTCCAATTCTACTTGAGCCTGAATTCAGAAGTTTTTGTTTTCGTGAGTTGGGAGAACAATGGGGAAACATAAGTCACCTGCTCATGACTGTCACTCTTTATCTAGTTACCAACTATTTACTCACGACCAATTGCCTTTCGAGAACATGGGCCGGACACTCCATGATGAACCAAACATATTAAGAGACTTGGAGAAGCAGTCGTTGTAGATGAGGCCTGTGTAAGTGGAGAACAGCCCCATCAGCAGAATGATGTATCGTCCACTAAAAACCATGTTGAACATCTAGTATTTAAAAAACAAAACAAAACAGAAAAAAACCAGACGTTAGAATAAAAAGGAACTCACTACTAACTATGAAATTATGCTGCTTCTCACTCTGTCTGGGTGTTTCACAAATTTCAATTGTAAGGAGAAATGGGCACTCTCAACTCAATGGGTAAAGATGTGAGTAAACCAAGCTGCAACTCTTTGTTTTAAATGCAAAGCTCAGAATGACCGGCCACTTTACCTCATTGTCACTCTTCTGTGAGAGAATTCGACTTTCCCTAAGCACCATCCAGACGGCAATCAGAGTCATCAGGATTCCATGGCCAAAATCTCCAAACATCACAGCAAACAGAAAGGGGAAGGTAATGATGGTATATGGTGCTGTAAGAGAACAGATGACACTCCTAGTGCACCCTATTTGAGCAAGGCCAGGTTTACCACAGTACAATTTAGCACTGTAATTCCCAAGCTTCTCCTCTGCTTCTGAAAGGTGTCAGGTGCTCCATTAGAAATTTTCACACAGGACAGACAATACAAACACCATGACTAAAAAAAAATTGAGGCAGATGTCTTAGACTTTTACAAGTATGAATTTACCTGGATTTATTTCCCGATAGGTTCCGATGCCATAAGCATCAACAATGTTTTGAAAGCCAGAAGTAAACTTGTTAGTTTTGTTGTATGTTGGAGGGGTCTGATTGGTTTGCATCCTGTTTAAAATCGATGGGACAGTGGACCCGCTGTGCTCCTGTTGAAAAAAATAACAGGAAGATTAGAAAACCCACCCTTAGAGCACTGGAGGACAGAGCACAACACTATTTTCTCATTAGCATTTGGAAAACTAGAAGCTTGTGTTTTTGTAGTGTGCTTGTACAATGAGAAATGTACTTGAGCAGCTGAGGAAGGCTGCCAAGTTTCCACTGCTCTCCAATTTGTATAGCAGGAGGAGAAGCACTTTGAGTAAGGATGAACATTGTCTGATAAAGACAGCCAAGAGTTTGTTTGTTTGTTTTTTTTAAACCAACAAATGAAACGACTTTAAGACACTCAATTCTATCCTCTGTCTATCTGAGCAGAGGGTGAGCTTGCTAATGTCCTGTATAGTTCCTTTGAATAAGTTCCACTCTCCATCCAAACAGCAGGACTACAAAGTACAGTCAGGTTAACTAAATACACCAAAGGACTCAAACACAGGAAAAAGCCTTACCATCACAGCATTTTCCTGAACTTAAAGCTTTACACAACAGATAAGCCATGATTCCTGCATGTCTCATTTGAACAGCCCGAAGGGATGCTTTGCAGAGACTCTCAGTTTGGAAAAATCAATGAATCCACTTTGTGTTTGCCACAGCTGCCAGTCTGCTTGAACAGCAGCTGCCAGGAGCAGTACAGCAGTTACTCACAGTGCCTCTCCTGAGAGCAAACTGGATAGAATCGAGGTCAGCAACAGGACACCAGACTTCAGCAATCAAGCACTTCTGCGTCACATCGATATTGCACAGGTTCAGGGTATGGTAGATGGCCTTCATCTTGCGCACTTTGATGAACCAGACACGGATATTTTTAGCAGCTGCCTGCAAAACCCTTTGGCGATGATCCTCCGTTTGGTTCAGCACCTTTCACAGAGAAAGAAGTAGGATAAAGATGAGGCAAAATCATTGACCAAAACTCAAAGCATAGAGAAGTGCAGAGTGATGTCAGGCTGACCAACAAGACAACTCTTACCCACCAGAGGATGGATGGATGGATCAACCCTCTCCCCCAGCCCATGCCTGCAATATATGCTTTAGTCTCCACATTAATTAGTTCTGCTAAAAGGTTTTAAGGCTTCTTTCCAGGGATTCTTTTTGTCTACTTTCTCCTCCAACTCCAAGGTCAGTGGATATTTCAAACAATGTACTGTTCATAGATCACAGAGAACATTTTTCCCTCCACCCAGGTTAAAAGAGCAGAGAAGAGTTCTACAAGTGAGGTGTACATTGCCCTAAGAAAATACACAAAGATTACAATGGAAGACTTTTTCACTGAAGGGAAAAGGAGAAAGTGTTTTCTACTGAGGGTGTTTTCCAACTGGAACATATCTAACTCTGCCAAGTCAGAATGGAAAGTCTTAGACTCAAGGGAAAGTGAGGACACAGGGCACAGGCAGCTTTGAATTCTACTAGTTACATTGCTTCTGACTTCTTGTCTACTTGAAAATTGCTAAACAGCTACACTACACAACTCCCAGCTTGAGATAGTTTCTGTATCAAATAAGCAGTCCAAGTTCAACTGTTTTTCCTTTTAGTTTCTGAATCTTTTCTTATTTTTTGTCTCAAATCCTTTAAATTTCCATGCATTATAATATACTGCCTTTCTTTCCTGAAGTAAACATTGAATATTTTGGAGCTGACACCCAGTACATTTGCGTGCTGGTTACTTTTTACCAACACTTGGGCTGCTGCACAAGAGATTAGTTGTAAAGCAGAAGCTCTTCAAGACAGCACAACGTGAAAATATGAAGACAGGCAGAAAAAAGAACAGCTAAGTTAAAGTTAGCATTGTTATCTCAACTTGGAAATAAGTTTCAGTGCTTTCAAGCAGGCAATTACACAAGCATGCTTTCAGAGTTGGAAAGCGTGGTATCTCCTTACACACACATATTCCTCTGTGCTCCCTGGCATGCAGCTCTCTCTCAGTGCTGTACTTACATGTACATAATTAACTGTTTAGCCCTCCAGAAAGATCAAACCACCCCACCATGCTAAACCTTGACGAAGAAAACAACTGAGCAGACAGTCTCCAAACATCTTTCTTGCACTGCTGAGCTGCTGGTCTCAAGCTACTTGGAGCTCAAAATATGGCTATCTAATAGGGCCAAAAATTCTCCTGTTTTGATAAGATCCAAAGAGGTTTTCAAGTATATTATTAAATTAAAAAAGGGCATTGACCCCAGTTATTTTACCATCTGAAGATCATCAATTCTGGTATTGACACCAGAAGCCATTTCCTTCCGCTCCTGTGGCGTTTCTGGGCATGGGTAGAGGGAGGCACGGAATCTGAAAGACATGCAAGCCACCTTAGTAACAGAGATGGAAAGAAGGTAATAGGGAAATAGATGGCTGAACACAGAAATAAAGCAAGAAGTTGTCTTAAGAGAAGTTTCTGATCAGCAAAGACTGCCAAGCAGAGTTTCAGTCTTTAAATCAAATGGGTACAGAAGCTTGCTCTAGGCCAAAAGAGAAGCTGAGTGCTTAAGAAAATGGAAGTGGGAGAAAGTCCTGTGTTCCATGGACTGACAGTGTCTCAAAGGCACTGTCACAAAGCTGATTAGCCACCCCAGTTCCGGGTGCTGCTATCATGCCAATGCAGCTGCTGCTGGAAGCAGTCACTGTTGGTCTCCCCTGTGAGAGCACTGCCTGCTAACACGCCACTAGGTCAGTCCAAGAGTTCACCTCTTGAACTCCCTTGTCTTCAGGCATTCCCTAGTGAAGTAGTCATCTACTCTGAGCACTACAGACTTGGGGAGTGGCTACTTTAACTGTAAAAATATGTTTCAGCTACTTGTGATATGTTTTATTTGCTGTCAAAATATATACTCCTACAGTCATTGTCAAATAAGGAGCTGAAAAATAATGTCAATGTGTTTCACACAATTGAGAGAGCTGCACCACTGTAAGACTTTCATACCCTTCACATATCTTCTTGACTCTATTCTTCAGCTGGTCACCTTGGAAAAAGATGATAAACACAGACTTGTGTACATAATCCCCCTAGAACAGAAGAAAAAGTGCACTGTAATAGCTCAGCTATTGTCAGAAATTAGCATTATAGCAAATTACAACAGTCTTACTTTTCCTTCATCTGAATCTGTGTATGCAGAGCTCGTATCTGCACAGTGAGTCAAAAAAGTACCTTAACAACACTGAAACATTCACCAGGAAAGCAATGTTCTTCGCCTCAGTTTAGAACACCTCTACTGTGCTTGTGTTTACTGAAGCAAAGTGTCCTAAATTATCTATTCTATGTAATACAACAAACAGGAAAACCTGGGAAGATCTTCAAAAGAACAGAGATGCAATTAAATATTGATCAGCACTTACTGCAGTCAGCTCACCTACAGAATCAAGCAAAAAGCTAAAGAGTGAGTGAAAATGAGATGGAGTTTAACAACCTTGACTCTCCAGGGAGGCCAAGGGCACATTCTTTGTACAGCTGTTTTCATGTCAGTAGCCAGGTCCCCTTTCCTGCATTTGTTGACAAGTTATTGTTCTACCTTACTTAGGAAATTTTAACGTAACGTTTCGAGAATAATTACATTAGGTGTAACCTCAATTTAAGGAAGTGTTGCACAATAAGAACAAGGTCTCTCCTGGTAGACAGATAATTCAACAGGTCAACTACCAGCAGTTGGTGGGACAAGAGAACAAGTCAACCCTACATGAGATACAAAGGTGCAGTTACCAAGTTTTTTTTACTGGTTAACAGCAGGAGTTCCTGAAGTTTGGGCATTGTTTGTTGATTTGAGCAGAGGACATTGAATGTAAAAACAGACCCAATCACAACATTTACTGTTTATATTTGTAATAAAGCAAACAATTCTCAGGTGGATGTTTAAATTACCCTTTCAACAGCACTCACCATCCATCTCGCTATCTTTGTTTTAATAAAATGGGAAAACATTTGTCACTGAAGCAGCAGAGGCTGCAAGTAGCTACTGTGAAGGGATGCAACACAAACGTTCGACTGCACGGAGATCATCGAGGAATAAAGGCTTAGATCTATAAGGAAATCCTTGTACCCATCTGGGACTGCTGTAAACACTAGTTCCTTTTACCGTGACAGGATCCTCCAGGGGGTTTTCAATTTCTGCCTGACGCAGGAACACGTTCCCTCGGCACACCCGCCACAGCATGCGCTCAAACATGGGGATTCGCTCGCGGTTGATGACACCAGCCACAAACCTGTCAAAGGGGCAGCACAGACCTGAGTCCTGCACCTGAAAGAACACACAGCCTAACGCCCAAAACACCAATGGCAAGTGGAGTTTAGCATCAGATTGAAAGCTGCAAAAAGCTTGTTTTCAAATTCATTCTTTAAGCAAAATGGAAGGTGCTCTAAATACACAGAGATAAAAACAAGGACAACTGCACTGCAGCACAAGCTACGCTATAAATAAATCACCGGTTAAAGGAGAAACAAATGCATTCAGACATACACTCTCCATGCCTGCTAGTCCTCATTTCAATAGGTTCCTGGCACGTTACATGGCAGTCACAGCTACCACTGACTATGTTCTAGGCATGTGCTTCAGAAGAGCTCACTGGTTCAAACCCCTATGGTCCAGATAAAGAATTCACACACACGAAGACAGCCTGGAAGCAGCTAACAAAGAGGATATAGAACTACACAGATTTTTCTGAGTATTACGTGCCCACAGCAGTGATAAATTTCAACAGAGCTGTGAGAGCTCAGAAAGTCTGAAAAAGCAACCAGAACAGATTTACAAGGAAAAGGAACACATTTTTTTTTGTGCAGAGAGAAACGTGCAAAGCACAAACATGAACTGGGAAGTTCACGTACGCAGGACAAAAACCAGAGACCAACAGCTGGTTTTTGGTCAGCCTGCACCTGCTTCATGTGCCAGCCTGGAAAGTTTCACAACTGGGCTGAAATCATTGCAGGCATGTAGGATGAATGATTAAATCTATTAATTACTGATTAAATCTATTAATTAGTCAAGATATTTACCCTTACTCACTATATTTATTATTGCCAGAGATATAAGAAGCATTTCTTAGGGCGGTCTGACAATGTTGCTCATTTTTTGACTAGGCAGGCATTAAAACAGGATGTGGATTTATACTGCCCTTCATTGCAACTAATTTGCAGGATGAATGTAACAGCAGCTCTAACACAGGACAGCTGAGAGCACAAAGTGCCATTACCCGAGTCGCAGCGGGGCACCTCTTCCCATCTCGCTTGGTTCCAGGAGTGAAGAGGATTCCTCCAACAGGTCTGGATCCGCCATCTGCTGATGATGCAATTCAGCCTGAATTCACAAATCAATTAATATCTAATGAAACTAGTTAGTGGCATGCAGGGAATGAGGAACCAGGAGACAGTTTGGGGAGACAAAAGAAGGAAGAAAAAAAATAAAAAGAAAAAAAAGAACATAAGAGCAGAAAGAGGAACTAGATGATAGAGAAGACAGCAAGCATCACACAAGGAAGGAGAAAAACAAGAGGAAAAGTGAAATGGCTCAGCAAAGCTTCCATACAAGAAAGGTCTGTAACTTGCTGCAACAGAACAAAGGGGCTGTGGGATATATAAGTCTGAAGAAAGGCAGAATAATAAAAGAAAATTGATCAAGTTTTAAATACAAGTGATGTTCCCAAGAACTACTTTTTAATGGCACAAACCAGAGTGACATTCCTTACTTTTTTTTCTTTCCCTAGACCTTCAATGGAGAAAAACATGAAGGTAGATGCTGATTCCCTGTTGCCCTACTTGTGCATCCTCTGCAAAAAGATGAAAAGAATAAAGATGCAGAAGTTGTTTCTAAGAGGTGCCTGATGTGTGTAAAGCAGCCTGGGAGTCTCGTTCCACGGCACAGGAAGAACAACCCTCAGGTAAGTCCTCCCCAGACAGTTTAACTGACCCTAGGGCAGCGTGCAAGACCTGTGCATCCTGCACATGGAAGTCTCCTGCCACACTGCACAGCAAAACCAGAGACCTCACTCGTTTCGGACTGAGGTGACCACAGCTTGACTTGCCACATCAGTGTGGATACAGGGTCAGACCCAGTAACAAAACCTGGAAGTACTGGATGGTCATTTTCTTTACTGGCTTTACAAAGTTCTCCCTCCACACACAATACTTCCAGCTTAAAAACATGCTTACTGATTAAATCTATTAATTAGTCAAGATATTTATCCTTATTCACTATATTTATTATTGCCAGAGGCATAAGAAGCATTTCTTAGGGCGGTCTGACAATGTTGCTCATTTTTTGACTAGCCAGGCATTAAAACAGGATGTGGGTTTATACTGCCCTTCATTGCAACTCATTTGCAGGCTAAAATTCTTGGGAATATAGCTTGTAAGTGTCAGCAACTCAAGTCAGGAAGGATGTTCAAATCACATCCTCTTGTGCACCACCTTCATACTTCGTTCAACCCCGTGTCACAGTTATTTCTACCTCTGCAGCTTATATATGAAATGACAAAAATTACAGTTCCTTAGCATGGAGGATCAAATTCTACCCTCTGTGGTACACAGGAGGTCTTCCCCACAGAGCCATCGAGGGAACTTGCTAAAATACACTTCAGGTAGAGTTTGACCCTAGAACATGTAAAATGCATGCACACACAGAGCCCAGCCTTGCAAAACTATACAGCAAGTTCAATGACTCAGCCAGAGTTGCTTTATTTGTGCAATAGTCGTGTCATAATTTTAGTGAAAAACTCTACAACATTTTGCTCACACATCAATTAAAAGTGTTTACCATGTACAAGAAAAGTTTTTGCAAGGCTGACATCAAATGCAGCTCAACTGCTTGTACACACGCTTGCTTTAGCTCACAGATGTTACAAAAGTAAGGGAGCCCTTAATTTAGTTTGGAAAGCCAACATGGGAAATTTCTGATCCTTTCAACTTTAAGGCAACTTGTTGCAACATCAAAAACCAAACGAAAATTTTGCTTCCTAGAGAACACAACCAAAATAAGAAAGTTTGGTACCTCAAAACAAAACATACAGAGCAGACAGATCAGTGATTGTTTGCTATCTAGGCTTCAGGGTGTTGAAAAACAACAAGAAAGTTACAGTTGTAAGAGGCTTGTATTGTACAGATCAGTAACCCGGATACGCTCTGCGACAGTTCTTGTGAGGAGCAGCACGTTTTCAGCATACAAAACATAAAAAAAGGAGGATAGAAGCTGTGAAAACTCTGGATCTGCCTCACTTGAGAGAGTAATGCTCATCAAATTTTAATATTAGCTCTGATCCTTTTGGGCTCCACGTCCTTTGTATAAAACAGAGTTCTGCTTAGAGGGGTTGAAATCAGAACAAAGCAGCTTCGAATAAATTTAATTAGACCAGTTTTACTCAACAAGAACTTTCTTACCCAAGGATTACTTGCTTAACAAAACTCTATGCTTTTTAACTCCATCTCTCAACTACTTTGATTTGATGATCACACCCTTTCTAGAAAATAAAAAAGCAGAGCAGCATCAGCTCTGGTCCTGGCAGGACGACTAAAGCCGTGTCACAAGAATGAACAGAAATTAGTAATTGTGAGACGATGTGGAACTAAAGAGCCACCCAGCTACGATGCAGAAGAACAAGACCCTGGGAAATTTACTTTGAATAAGAGTTTTCACCAGTAGCGAGTAGAGTATCGTCATTATTGTGAAGTATTTTTTACTACATCAGATTGATCAGGGTTGGAAAAACCCAAGTATTTGCACATCAGTAATTAGAATGCAGACCTTTCATTATTCAAGATTTTTAAAGTGCTTATTTTTCACCCAGATCAGCACCTTTACTCTCAAGGCCTGAAAAAAAAGGTTCCTTTTCCCTACTCTTGATTATTGTTCTGCTCTGTAATGGCCCTGGATCGTTACAGACAATGCCACACAATTCAAGCCCCTTCCAGTTCACTAAAAAAAAAAATAAATCAAAAATCAATTTACAGGAGAACTCAAAAGGATTCATTTCACCATCTAACTTATTAACCCAGTGCCCAGACAGGAATGACAGATGCAAAACAAACAGAGAAAAGCAGATGGTGAGAAGAGTTAGAGGAAGGAGAGACAGGGGACTGCATGCCATTAACCATTACTTTTCCAGTCTTCTTTTACGCTCACACTCTAGGCAAAACTTTCAGAGAAATCTCTCCAGCTCATACTGTTCTTCATAAGCAAAGACAAGAAGACTGAGAAAAGGAGCATAATCATCAACATGGTATGTTGAAACAAGAAATGGCTACTTTGACTGGAACTGGAAAAAGAGCAAATGAAAAGATTTTGCCATCCTCCCTCCCCAGAGCAGAGCAAACGCCAAGTGTGCAGGACTTTGGAGAATAAGCCATTTCTTGTGCAACTTATTACTATGAATAGCATAATCTTAATTACAAGTTATTAAAGTCTTCAAGTGTTGAAGGCACTGTGCAAACGACAGCATGAAGCAATGAAGCGGTCACTGCTTCGGGACAACGAGCAGCCAAGGCTCAAAGTCCTGGACTAGGCGGGATCTCACGCCCAGCTGTTTGCTGCTCACAGTGTGAACTCAGAGAGTTCTAAATCCTGAATCCTTATGTTTTACTGACCTTCACCCCAGCTGTTCAGCTTGCTTTGACACAGAGTAGTATATTTTATTTGTTGTATTTTGTTTTATCAGTACAGAAAACTGCAGCTGGAACCTATGAACTTCGACGGCCAGTTCATTTAAGTCTGACACGAGTTCCCTTTTCTGGGTGACCTGACACAGATTGTTTCAGTAGGAAATGGATTTTGATCTTTAAATTTAGTATGATCATACTGTACTGAAAGAAAAGCAGTAGGCAGCTCTCAGGACAGTAATTAATAAAGAAGAGCACAGCACAGCACTAACTGCACTCAGTTTTACTCAGTGCTCAGGTAGAACAGGCAGCTCAGTAACAGATTATCAGGTTAACGCTGTTTGTCCAAGGAGACACTTGTCAGTGAACATTCAACACTCAAAGACGAGGGTTTTTTGTACCAAAACCAGCCCCACGACCACTGAACTGATCACACCAGCAGCAGGATCTCTATCAGCAGTGACCAAGACTTGTGTTGGCACAGGAACAACCTTAGTGCCCAAACAGGCAGCATCCTGGGCCAAAAAACCAAACCCCAAACCATTAGATAAACAGTCTGAAGTTTGCAGGAGTGCAGCCCCACTGGGTCACAGCCTTTCTAAAGGCCAGAACAGCAGCTGTTAAGAACTCTTTGATCAAATCCTTGGCTCAGAGGAAACAGGACACGTACTCAGCAAAAACATGTCCTAAAAAACATATGGGAGCTCTCTGAGAAAACCCCCTGGACTCTGAGATACTGAGGATCTGCAGTGAAGGATTGTGTCTTCCCCATGCAGGCTTCATGTCTGCAACAGAGAAACTATTCTCAGGTCCAGTGAAAAAGTTGCCAGTTTCTGGCCTAGCTGGTATTTGAAAAAACAAAGATTTTAAGTGGCAGCTTTGCTCCAGAACTTACCTCTGAAAACTTTAGGGTTTGATCAAAGGCTCAAATCAATCAATCAATAAATAATCTACTACTTGAGTGGACTTTGTATTATGACCCCAATGAGTAATTTCCATATGACATTTCAAAGGCTGAAGAGAAATTAAGCTTGATTGTAATTCCTCTGTGTGAGTGAGGCGTGAGTGTTCATCTATAAACTCTTACCTGCTGAAGAAAGTGCTCACTGTAGCACCAAATTTTTGGTCTGTTGATGTGCTTTAAAAACTACTAACATCTTAATTATTTTACACAATTTTTAGACAAACCATTGCTGAACTAAAAAAAAAAAACCAAACAAACCCAAACCCAAACCAACATCATAAAAGGTAAATCATGGGTAGCTACGTGTACTGCATGAAAAATGGAAAATAATTGGAGATGCTTTCTTAAACAAAGCATAAAAAATGACCCTGCTGTCCAAAACAGCAACTAAAAATATATTTGAGAATAAAAATGGTAATTTGTAGGAGAAGAATCAGCTCCCCAAGTATTAACCCGCCCCCGGTATTCTGACCTCATCAAAAAACTGCTGAGTTTTACGCAGTATAAATTTTAATTCTGTCAGCTCCAAGAAGTTTCTCTTCAGAGCTTCCTGGTTTGTGTTGATTTCTTTAAGCTCATTTTCAATTTTCTCAAAGTTTGCCTGCAAGATGTGAAAAGGAGAAGGAAAAAGGAGTTAAAGCAGTTGTGTAAGTAAGTGCTGTCAAGTATTCAAACAAGAAAGGAGGCAAAGAGCTCCAGATCCCCACGCGATGTGCACGCAGTGACACGTGTCTGCAGCCTGCTCCGTACACACCCCGATGCGTGACATTCTCCTCAGGCACCTTGACACTTCTCACACCCAGCCAGTCTCTTATAGACTGGAGTTACACACTGTTCTTCAAATCATTAAAAACCCTCATAAACTTTAACACAGACCCACCACAAACCCTGCGATTCCAACGGATTTTGACTCATTTAAACGGGTGAAAATCCTGTTAAGTATCTTCACTTCTAACTGTATCTGGATAAAGGCACAAGCACAACAATGCTCGTGAATCGAAATCGAACTGGTGTGATCCAGCAGAGCCAGCTGGGACTGTGCTTAATGCACCTTTCCCACTAATTTCCTAATTAGCTAATTCCCCCTGTTCTCATCCACAGTCACATACTATTTGAGTCTTATCACACATCATTACCTCCAAGTCAATCATGTCACGTGGAAAAGGCACCTCCGGGTTTTCACCAGTGTCCATGATAGGAATATTTGCTTTTTTAATCTCCTTCTCCACAAACCCTGGAGAGACAGCAGTGTTAGTGTTAACTAAAGAGATACTTCAGTGTCACACTGTCAGTGTCACACTGTCAGTGTCACACTGTCAGTCAATGTCACGCTGTCATCGTGACCTCCACTGAGCCTGATGAGCAGCTGGGAACCCTTTCACCTCCTGCTCCAGGATCCTGCCGCTCGGCTGAGGTTACCTTTCAGGAGCTGGATGCCGGGAGGCAGCCTGATGGGCTCACACAGAGCCTGGCTGCTCCTCCAGCCCTGGGGTTTGAGCGCTGCCTCGCAGCTTCAGCCTGTCATGAGTAGCAAAAGCTGCAGACCCTGAGCCGCAGCGACCCCGCGGGACACGTACTCAGCTTTCGGTCCATCTCTTCACACCTCCTGACTTCATTAACGAACTTCCTCTGGAACACGTTCACGTCCGGGTTCAGCTGCGGAGAGAGACACGGTTCCTCAGCAACACCCACCCGCGCAGCCGGAGGCACCGGGGCCCGGAGGGGTGTCCCCGGGCCCGGCGCAGCCCCGGGCGCTCCCCGCGAGGGCCGGCACTCACGTCGCGGAACTGGACCTTCCCCAGCTCGCCCAGCTCGCTGACACAGCAGTACGCGGCCTCGGACTGGAGGAAGAGCTGGGCCAGGGTCATCTCCTCG